TGCCTGCCCCGGGATGCTGCCTGCCCTGGGATTGTTCCCTGCCCCAGGGTGCTTGCTGCTTCGGGATGCTCGCTGCCTGCCTCGGGACGCTGCCTGCCTAGGGACGCTGCCTGCCCTGGGATGCTGCCTGCCCTGGGATGCTCGTTGCCTGCTTCGGGATTGCTCCCTGCCTTGGGATGCTGCCCACCTCGGGATGCTTGCTGCGCCCTGGGACAGAGCCTCCTCAGGGAGCCGAGCGCTGAAGGGCCGTCCTCTAGAAATAACGCTGTTCCTTTCCTTCGTACGGTGAGGTCTTATTAAATACCTCACACTCCGTAGCTCTGGTGAGGGGTCGCTGACCTTGGGTGAGATGGCACCAAAGCTGCGGTTCCCCAGCCCAGGAGCATGGGGTGCCGCCGTCCTCGCTGGGCCCATGGCAGCCAAGGCAGCCGGAGCGGCGCCTGCCAGCCTGCCGACGGTGGGAAGTTTCCCTAAAAATGCAGCTAGTGTTATTAGCGATATGTAAGCAACAGCACAGTTTGGGTACAGATAGCATTTTTTTCTTCCCTGGGCGAAATGTAACAGTGAGAAGTGTTCCTCTTTCCACCGGCACTGGTCGCTTGTTCCTGTGGGTTCCGTGTAACACCCTTAGAACAGCCACTTTGCTTTGTGTGGAGCTTTTTTAGGGAGAAGTGGGGGCAAGGGCATTAAAAGGTGGTTGAAAGCAAACTACAGAGCTTTTGTGCTTTCCAAGTGACTTCACTTAAGAACTCGAGTTGACTGCTGTAAACAGCCAATGCCATTATGGCAAATCCATAGGTAAACTAAATGTACGGTCTGTAGCCCTTGTGTTTCAACGGCAATTTCGTAGAGATAAGTATGTATAAACATGCATGAGCTCGCGCTCTGTGAACACTTCAGGTACTTCCTCTACTGTGTACTTACCAGGACAACGTCTTTTATATTTTCTTTAACCTATGCCCAGCAATACTATTTTCCCTCATTGATGTGGAGTCTGGAGATTTTTGTCTTCTTTTTAAAAAAAAAGGTTCTCCATATATCTTTGCTCTAAGCGGAAGGCTACTTCTCATTATTTTCTCATATTTTACTCTGATCACGGTTCATATGCTCCACTGCCGCATAAATTGTCTAGCACTTACCTCAGTAAACCACTGGTTAAAACTATTTGGAGTGAGACTATTTTTGTCTATTGACTCAAGTATTTTGGGTACAGTTTTGCTGTCAGAAAGCAAGCTGTCTGAAGGATGTTTACACAGTCACTGGGCGATTTCAGTTTATTGGAAGGCAGAGCATTTACTTGAAGAACCTTGGTGCTGTGATTGCTCATCCTTGCAGTTACTAATCACCTACGGAAGGCACCGCATGAAGTGTCTTAGTGTAAAGCTGAGGCACTGCACCAAGGCTTAACATTTCAATCTGAAGAACACCTGGATTTAAATAAAACAAGGTGTTAATTTGCATTTTGGCAAATCTTCTGTATTTCCCATTCACCTCAGATATCGGTTCACTTAAAAAACATGGAATGGATCCCATCACGTTACATACAAACAACCTGAAATAACTTTTTTTGTTGTTTTTATATTAATATACGTGTAGCAAAGACTATACTGTGCAATGCGTCCCCATGGAAGTGCCCCTCCATCTAAGGCAGCAACAAAATGCAGTCAGGATTTAAAGTTTCGCTTTGCAGCAGTTTGTTTCCAATATCGCATCAAATTACTGAAATAGCTGCATCTCCACGACGGGTCAGGAGTTACAGAAAGTGCTTGGTGGTGTATTCACTTCTGAAGTAGCTCGTACATTCTCGCTGCTCCTGTAGTTCTGTGGGGGAAGGGTAAAAAAGGCAATAGTTGTTAACGCTGGGTGCAAAACGTATGGGAAAATACTGAGCTTCGTTCAGGCTGACCTTGAATAATTTGTGTGAAATGTCTCTGTTCATAACTTCCCGTACTGGAGCATGGGGTTTATCTGGTAAACATAGGTTTGCATTTGCACAGAATTTTTGAGCAGTTCCAGTGGAGTTCCAACCAATTCCAAGCCGGTTTGTTCCGTTGTGTCATTAACAGCGTGCTTACCGCCTGTGTCTGCAGCTTTGCCCCTTAGGGTAGAGTTGAGAAGTCGTAACTGAGCTGTGTGGGATGCCTTTCCTTTTGGGAGAGTAGTCTAAAGAAATTGCAAGATTGCTAGCTCCCAAGGTCTTACCCAAAATATGATGAGCTACGCTCAGGTCCGGGAATCTTGAGACTGTGTTATTTATCTGGGATGAGCTCAGTTCACTTGGATTTGGGGTCATCTGTACAAAGTCTGAGCACAGACCTGCTGAAGAGGACACAGGGGTCCTCATGGGGTACCTAAATGGGGCTGCTCCATCCAAGAGGGTGCAGGATTTCGGGAGAGCATGGGCTGTGCTGGAGCGTGGCATGCAAACTGTATCTTGGGGAGAAACAGCATGAGGAGTACCAGTGGTTTGTTCTTGTTGTCCTTCACAGTAAGAGTTTTGGTTCTGGGCTTGCAGGGGGTCTTTGGGGGGAAAAGGGAGCAAATATTTATTTTTTCTAAAGCACAGAGTTGTCTGTTTTTAAAGCACGGAGTTTTAAAGTACCTATAATTCTGCCATTCCCCTAGCTCTTGTGCCTGTCTCTAGGGAGAACCATCAAAAGATCAGTGGCTGCTTACGATAGGGTCTCGAGAGTCACAACTTAGAAGCGTTAGCAGAGTATGTTAATTAGAAAGGTCTCGTGGAACAAGCATTCTGGATTTTCTGAAGTTGTAAAATAGTAAAATACAAATATCTGCAAATTATTTTCTCACTTTTTAGGAACTGGTAAAAAGTATTCGTTTCTCTATAGGGAGCAAAATGCTATTTGCATGGATTGTGCCTGCAGCAATTTGGTTGTTGGTGCACTTCACAGCAGGTAAGATGGTTTTTTTTTCCCCTCCTACATAGCAATTATCACTTAAAAGAAGCACTCAGGCTAATTAGGCTTTTTTTTTCCAGTTTCTGTGTGGTATATGAGCAAATGTCTTTCTTATTAGAGAGAGCAAAAAATGATGCTTGATTAGGTTTATACTGTAATTTCCTTAAGAACTCCTTGATCTGCTGCTACTCTCCTCTAGAGTCCTCCAGCTCTCCACGGCAATGTACCCTGTCCTCGACAGTCCGGGCAGGCTGCGGGCATGTGCTTATGTTTATGCATAATTGGCACCACGAGCCTGTTTCGTTTGTGTATGTAGTATATCGCAAGTAGTTGCTAGTAAGTTATGCAGGGAGGTTATTTGGTTTAGTTCGAGGTGGAGCTGTTGGTTACATGAGAAAGCATCTCTTGTTAGCTTCCACGAAGACTTCCAGAACTCAGAAGCAAGGAGAAACGGTGTGCCGGCATTTTCCCTTATCTTCTGCCACTGCTCAGCTTGTTTGCCCCCAGCATGAGTGCCCTGGAGTCTGCCAGCAAGTGCATGCTCTTGCACATCTGCGTCCTGTGCCACGTTGAAAAGACAGTAACAAGCAAGGGGAGGTCTGTAGGAGCCAGAGAAAACAGTGCTTGTCTCTTCAGTACAGACATGCCTGCCAACGCTTTACTGGAACGCAGATATTTCCTTAAAAAAGAGTTCTGATCGATTTTGCCTGGGGCTGTGCTTTTTTTGTATGATGCCTGGCAGCTAGCCCTTGGTTTCTGATCCCGGTTAATCAGATCAGTGAAGACTGGGCACAGCAATATCCCATGAGTTACCACACGGAGGCAGGAATTCCTCCATCATAAATTTGGGGAGACTCTCTTCCCCGCACGCAGCATGTTGTACAAGATAAGCGACGTATCCACATTAAAGGTTTGTTTTCCCATTCTGTTGCAGAAGCATGCAGCAATGGGAACGTCACTGCCGGCAAACTTCTCCGTGGTGCTGCAGAAATATGTGACAAAGGGAATATGACTGCTAACACTGCTTCTCACGTCCAGCCTGGAACCAGTATCATGCTCTCATGCCAGCTGAAACCCCTGGAATACACTAAGCAGTGCAGGATAGCTATTTTCTTTAACAGCTCTAAACTAATTAGCAATTACAGCAGTTCAGTAAGCACCAAGTTTCAAGTCCGTACCTATGGCAAACACATGTTTACGTGCAAAATAGTTTGTGAATACAAGAAAAAACTCATTTGTGGAATTGATATAGAATCTGGAAGTAAGGAGAATTTAATTATTCCTTGTTCTTAAACATTTCCTATGGTACCTTTGAGACATGTGTTAGAAACTAGCAGCGGGTAGCCTTTTCCAGAAAAGGTGCTGTCTTTTAGTGGCTCTTTGTATTTCAGATGTTCCTGGATGGGACTGGGCAACTCCACTATTGATAAACGGAGACATGCTAAATAAAACTGCCTGCTCAAAGCAAAAATCATACTCCTTCCCATTCTACCCCTGATGCCCATCAGTCTCTCCAGGACACAGGGAACTTGCAAGAAAAATTCTAAGGAAACTTTAGATTCTCTTCTAGCCTGATCAGCTGCTGCGGCGGCAGTCACCTGCTGTATCAGTGCTGCTTTTATTTATTTTTTTTTTAAATAAGAATAATGGTTGATGGCTTCAAGCAAAGCTTGTGGTGCCCAGTCCAGAGAGCTGGTAAGCACCTGAATTCATCTGGCACCCTTGTAAAGTCACTGGGGTTTTGCTCAACCATCAGAGGTCTCAACAGGCTGCAGAGATCATAGGCTCAGCTATTTTCACGTATAAACATTATCAGCATGAATATTTTGCACTTACTTGTCCATAAAATCTCTAAAAAAAAAATTAAAATCAACACAAACGTAGTATTTCTTAAAATGTCTCCTATCAACATCTTTAAGGAAGACTCTGATACGAATATCTGTTTAAGATCCTCCAGATGAGCCAAGAAATGTGTCATGTATCCAATATGGGACAGATGGCCATCCCACCTGCACCTGGGATAAAGGCAGGCTCACGCACATCAACACTACATATGTAATACAGTAAGTAACGCGGGGATGCAGGTTCTTTAATACCTATAATTGAATCTTAGAGGGGGCTTACTATTTTTACACCGCTTATTGCAGAATTTCCCTTCTCAAAGCACACAAAAAGGTGGTTTATGAGTGAGTCAATCCAAGGTTGCCATGATCACAGAAGCCAGCCGCAGGAGTTAAAACCCCTTCTCTGTTCACATTGGTGTGTGCTGTGCGGCAGCAGTTTGGCTCCTTCTGGCTTCAGCAGGTAAAGAGGGCATGCCAAGACGTGGCTCCCTTTGGAAATGGAAGGTCAGTAGGGGAAGTGGTCTGAAAATTGCTGCTCAAACCTGCTGCTTTCCTGTGGTGGACCTCCTCTATTTAGCGAGTCTGTGGTTAGCAGAAAACCTGTGATCGGAGCTGCTCACTGTCTTGGAATTTGGCTAAGGAGACAGAGAGGGACCTTGCTTGGAAATGTGTTATTTTTGCTTCTCATTTTAGACCCAACCTGTATTTTTGTTTTCTCTGGTTTGGCTGAGCCTTCCCTGAAAAAGAGTGTGGAGAATTCTGCAGCAAATGGTGGGGAAGGAGCAAAGGTTCCCTAGAGCATGTTAGGAGACCTTTGGGTTTCAGGAATCACAGTGCATACGAGGAACCTTATTAAAAAAAAAAAACTCTATTCAAGCAAACATCTGGGTAGAATGAATTATTTTTGCCCTTTGCAAACCACTGGGTAGGCCAAACCACTCCCCATTTATTTCCAAGGTACTGCATGTTACCCATCTCCTTACCCTGTGAGGCTCACTCCTTTTCATCACCACCTTCTTCTTCACCTGCTTCTGTTGGCCAAGGGAGCAACAACTTTCTTAGTAGCTCATAGAAACCTGTCACTGCTCTCCAAGCAGAAGGAGAATATAGAGGCAATTTACAGAAGGGTAGGGAAGTGTGGATAATGAGTCCTGCAAGTGTTGTAACGTAGAGATCTAGCAGTGCTTGCTAGTAAGTTAAGTATATTACAAAATACAAAAGGTCAGCCTGAAGCAACATGATACTCAATCATCTCCGATTCAGGTGGAAGAAAACACACAGAGAAACTAAATGAGTTACCCAAGGCAATGGGATGAATGACGGATTGAGAATTAAAAGTTGTGAGCCATGCCCCACAGCACCCTGGGTTTAGCTTTCACAGCATACAGGAAAGTATTAACCAGTTTTCCTCCTGTTCCAGGCTATCAAATGAGACGGATGTATTCTGTATCTCAGAAGAAAGTCTGAATAAGGAGTTTGGCTCGCTGGCTCTAAGCAAGTTGAATTTTGACTCTACTTACACCGTTGTGGTTGCTGCCTCCAATGAGCTAGGAAGTGTTTTTTCACAGCCGCTCGTCTTCATGTTAATAGACATAGGTAAACACAGTAGTTACTGCCTTTCAGCTAGTCCCAGCTCTTTAGAAAGATGTGAAAATATTTTGAGCACTTTCTTGTTTGAACCTCTCAGAAAAAGCATCCCTCCAGTCTAAACCAGTCATTCTACTTTCCACGTAACCCCCCATTCCGAGCTGTGCTGCGTATCTGAGCGCTGTTTGCTTCTTTCTGTTTTTGCTGCTAGTGAAACCACATCCTCCCAACTTTTTAGTGGAATTTGAAAATTCTTCTGCGACCAGCTGCACCTTTTTTTGGCATGGTGAAGCACAAGCACAGCACTGCAGGCTGAGATACCGTCCACTTACCAGGGACTCCTGGAGCATGGTAATCCCCTTCTGAATGAAGGAAGTTATGATCCTTGGAAGTTGCTTTAATATCATTAATTCTTACTAGAACCACTTTGTCCAAATTTGCCTTTCTCTGCTCTTTAACACTGTATTTAAGAAAAACTATTGCCTCCTGGTCAAAAATTATCATTGGTCTAAAACTGAATGAAGGTAAAACACTGATCCTGTAAAAAAATGCATGTGCACAAATAGTTCCTCTCACATCAAGTGTCTGTATGACACACTGAAGAACCAGAGGTTACGTTTGACCCACCACTTTATTGGAATACAGTTGCATCTGCTCATTGTAGCTCAGGCGTGCAATTTCCAACCATTTTCACTTTCACTAATGTCGATTGGAAGTCCTTGCTTTTATTTTCAGTGGTAAAAATAAATGTATTGCTTGAAGTCAAGTAAAACGTGAACAGAAAATTTGTTTTCTTCACGTAATTCAATGAGGGATTTTTCTGATGCAGAACTGCGAGCCTGATGATTCATTGCATTGTTCTTTGAGTTATTAAAGTTGCCTCAGAGCAGGGGTTTTCCCATTGGTTTTTTTTTTTTTTTGAAGACATGCTTTGGCTGGCTGGGCTTCCTTTGGGCATTAGTAGTTCAGCCTGTCACTGCCTTCAACCTTTATTTCCTTGTGAGTTTAACATTATATGTCCTTTATCTTCATTAAAGGTTGAAAGCTTGAACAGTGAGAAATGCAGTCTCTATGGTCTGGAGCCTCATACAACCTATGAGTTTCAGGTCAGCTGTAAAATCCACCCTGAGCGAGGACTGTGGAGCAACTGGAGCACGTACCAAACCCAGACTCCAGAAGCAGGTAACACAAGATGGCATCTCCTGCACTAAGCCTGCGTCTAACCTTCGCATACAAGTGGAGACTTCAGCTAATGAAAGTCAAAATGCTGCTGGGTTTTTGCTGGTTGGTTTGCAGAGCCTCCGTAGGTCCAACTAGAGACCCAACAGGGAAGTAACTTCTGTAACAGAATTGGGTTTTTAATGAACAAAAAATGAGGCTGTTGAAGTTTCTTGCAAAACAGGAATTTCAAGAGTTCACTGAGAAGGTCTGAAGGATATTTTCATTTGATGTTGTTGAAGGTTGGAGGAATTTTCTCTGTGTTGCCCAGAGCCATAGTGGCACATCTGGAAAAGGCAGAGACAGTTGTGCAGCTTAGCTGGGGAACAAAAAATATGCTGTATTGGTTCATATCTAGGCATTTTACTGAATTCCTGCAACAACCCCCTACTCAGGTCAGGATGGCTGCTATGTCACCCTCTGGTGCTGACGAACCACAGTTTGGGTGACCAGCTCCAGGTCCTTGAGCTTGCCCAACAATTTGCTGAGAAGTTGGGTCACTTCGCCAGGAAACTGCCCGGACTCTCTCAGTTCTGCTGATGCTGGCGCAGGTTTCAACAGAACAGTTTAATTTTGCCAAGACACCTTTTCCCAAGTAGAGAAGTTATTTCATTTGGAGCCTCCCCAGATAGCCTCCTCCACCGTGCCGTGGAGTCACTGGAGACCTGGGTAGCTTCAGCAGAGCAGAACCTGGCCAGGCCTTCATGAGAGAGATATCCCACCAGGAATTAGGTGAGCAAAAAGTGTTTCTGCTCCAGAGGACGGCACAGAGACTCCAGGGACACACAGCACCAACCTGGGGGTAATCCTGCCAGCTCTAATATCGGCTGCCTTGGGTTGGCTGCGGGCTCACATACCTGCATGCCTGACTTCACCCCGAGCTGCACGAACTCACATGCTGCAAAACTTTCAGTTCTTATGAGAGAAGAAATCTTCTCAGAAGTCTGTGTTTCAACAAAGATGTGTCGGCTGCTTTGGCATCCCCTCCTTTCATCTCCCACTTGGCTTCCGTTGCGCTTTTTTTGTGAATTACTATAAGCTCTTCAGGCTAGGGCCATTATTACTCATGCTATTTACCACTACTGACAGCATCAGTTTCTGTAAGAAGCATTGATTGATGCAGAAGGTGTGAACATTTCCTTCCCTCCCCCACCTTCCTCTCAACAGTTTTCTCAACCTTCTCCACGCACCTTGGCTTGCTACGGCATTTGTGGTCATCACCCCATTACCCAGCTGATGCCATAAACTGAGAATCTTTTCAGCTAATCAAGGAGAATTTTCTGTCCTCAGATTAGGCAACAGCAAGGGGACATTGCAGGCAAGAAGCTCCAAGTACATCATGGTTGCCCTTCTTCGAAAGAGCTGAAGTTCTATACATGACTTTGGCCTTTCACAAATTCAGAAGTATACCTTTTCAATGAGCTAAGCTTTTTCCTATTTCTCTGACCTGCCACAAAACTTGCTTTATGCAAGCACTGCTCATAAGCGACCTTTTTTTTCCCCCAGCTAATTTGTGTGGTTCACATGCAAAATGAACTTTAAGACCCGGGCTGGAGTCCAACAGATGCAATCCCATATTTTATTTTTTCCTGCTTTGAGCTTGCCCATTCCTCCCTTGCTCACAGTGAGCGTGCTTCTGGTTTTATTTCTTCTGTCCGTCCTGCTTCTTGTTTCTATTCCAGTTACTATTTGCAGTGAATACAGGACAAATAGCTCTTAACATTGCTGGGACTGAGGACTTTTTCTGTCTTTGAATTTAGAAAACAGCAGGCAGCCCCATTCTAGCTGGGATTGTCCAACGGCTGCCCGCTGCTTGGGCTATTAGTAGCATTTATTATTTGAATTTGATGGATTTATTTTGGTGAGGGACCTCACGGAACCAAACTTTGTTATCTTAGCTTTCTTTTTATGTCTTTATCTAGTCCTGAACTCTTGGAGCACATTGTTCACCAGTTTCTGCAGCCGGAAGTTTGCTTTAGTGTTATTTTGGAAGGCTTATTCAAAACATCAAGGGTTTCCAGTCACCCTGTGACTATAAGGAGAATCATGGAGACAATGGGGGTTTTAAGCTACCTCTGACAAGGTCCTGCCCAGCTAAAGAAAGACATTTATTGCCATGAGCCAGACAGTGAAATCCTGCAGATCCTACAAAACCTATCACCTGAAGCTCTCCGTTGTTTTAGGATTGATGAAGCCAAGGACCTTAACTAGCCTCAACTTTTATGCAAGGATGAGAGCTAATACTGTCACTTTATGCGTAGGCTTCCTTGGGAGCCATCCCAATTACCGAGTGCAGGATAAATCACCAGCAGAGCAAAATCCTCTCTTGGGTTTATGGCTTGTTCTCCTGATGAGAACCATCATGCGGGCAGTCATCAACGCAGCTGAACGGCAGCTGCAACAGCAAATACAGGCCATTGCATATTGCATCATTTCAGGGGCATTTTAAATCTAAAATTTTAATTGCCTCAGGATTTTTACATCCTTTGCCTACCCAATGCCTTGTTTGTTTGCTTGAGAAATACAACAGTAATGTTGCTCACCTTTTCCTTCCACGCCAGCGCCAACCGGGCTCCCGGACATCTGGTACCGACAGCAGGATGTGGACTCTCAACAGCAGAACATCTCCCTTTTCTGGAAGGTGAGTTAAGTGAAACCCAAGCAGATGAGGGGGAACTCTGGTTTATGCGTTCACAGGAAAGGACCGAACCCCAGGAGAGCACAGGGCTTTTACCAGCGCCCAGCGACAGGGACAGGAACAACTCTGCTACCTGAGGCTGGCCTCCCCCAGGAGATTCAGCAATTCTTTTCTACCTACAATTCCATTTTACAGTTCCCCAAACTTCCTGTCATGCTGGAAGTGTAACACGTTCCCAGCACATCACCTCAGTGAAGGGAAGGGGAGGTATCGCAGCTCAGTTACCACCGTTCAAAGACACACATTCCCTCCCACTTTCCACAAGGCAACCCACGTCCCTGATGATACATCTGAAGGGACAGATAACAACCTTAGAGACCTCCTCATTTGTTTTCTAATTAATATCTCCCTCTCCTCATTCTCCACCTCGTTGTCGTTTGCCATGGTTGCCATATGTGGTCAGGACAGGAGTTCTGGGAGGCCAGGAGAACACCATGCCCTGTGTTCTCCATATGCACATACCTTGCATGCCTGCTTTTGGATATGAGCTTCCTTCAGAGGTGTTTCTGCTCTGTTTTACCTATATGAAGAACAGAGCAATGAAGAATGGGGGGGGCAGTTTATTGTAATAGCCCTTTAAGATGACCAAACTCTAAAAAATTTAAGAGCTGGATGTAGTTTGGGCAACTGAAAGGGTCCTGCCCGTGTCATTGCTGTGT